CACTTCGATCATATTCATTCATTCATCGTCAGTAAGCGCTTCATCCTGGTCAGGGTCACAGTGGATCCGGAGCTAATCCCGGGAACACTGGATATCTTAGAAGCCTTGATTTGGTGTTTAGTGTGAGCTAAAATTATCAGCAAAAATGATGTATGTATTTTTACATAATATCCCCAAAATACCCCAAATGTAAATATTCCTAAAATATACTGCAACGAAAAATAATATAGTACATTATTTTGAATTTTGAAAAAAATTTGTAAGTGGAAATTATGATGAGTCATGGGCAATGTTTGCTTTCTGATGGATGATCGCTAGCGCTAATTTAAATGCTATGTGTCCTCCAGAAACCACACCAGTCGTCAAGATATTTTCTCGATATTTGCACATGATTAGACTTTAATTTGTAACGTATTACTGTACCACACATGCTAACCTGCTGTTATATTTTTCTCATGCTGGTGAGAGCTTAGCATAGCTACAAGATCTAAGCAGCTCTGCCTACTAGCTAGCATTTAGCTCACTAGCTATTAGTGAATATTAAAAGTAAAAGAAGTTGGTCATGCTGGACAGAAAATAGCCAGTCAGAGTTTTCTTTTTCGTTCGGGTGTTTGGAAGCCGCTTCGCTGTTCTTATTCTTCTCACAAGCTGAAGGTGCTGCAGAGACTTTCTAGCTGCACGAAGCAAAGTTGTACAAGTGCCTACTCCAAAATGTACCATAATCTTCAGTTTTATCATTCAAGAAATCCAAAACATGTTTTATACTAATTATATATCACATTTGCTTCTATGACCATCAAATACAAATGACAGTATAGCATTAAAATGGCACCGTGTAGCCTGTGTTGTGTTGCAGTTGAACATGGTGCATGTGGACGAAGAGCACTGAAAACATGTCATGCTCTTCTCTTCATCAATAGCTGCAAGGTGAGGACAGGGGGAACAGCTGCCATTTTAGCATAGCGAAGCTTGTCAGATGAAGGCTTTCCTGTAAAAGACAACCCAGCCCTTTTAATTACCAAGCAAGGCACAATGTTTCTCACTCCATCTGTCTCCACTTTTCTTCTTCTCTCTTTATAACTCATCACACTGCCTTTTTTTTTACTGAACTTCAGTTAAAAACACATCTCTTACAATCTGACGCTTCTTTATTTTTAGCTTGAAAAAGACACTTTTTTACTCTCACATCCCACACACATAACATGTTATCAAAGCTTTTTAAAAAGCAGCCACACGGAACAACCGGCATTCACCAGACCTTTTACACAAGCAACAGAATATCTATAAAATGCAACAATCATGTCGGAGGCGAAGAAGAAAGCAACTATTGTGTCTGTGAAATTGTCAATACAGAATGTCAGAAGAAAACCTGCGTACTGGAGTCAGTACCAGTGAACTGAAGTGCTGCATGACTAACTTACAGGCCTTTTTAACTGCTCAAGCCGTAGTGATAAAAAGCCGACTGTCAGCAGGGATCTCGATGAGCCACAGTGCTGCCGGGACTTTTTACAGCCACAGCGGCTCTTTCATTCAACCCTCATGATGATACGCAGAAGACAGCCAGAGACCTCTGCATCTAAAACATACATCAAAATGTCTGTCAGGTATTGTGCCACTCTCCGTGATGCAATCCCTCTGGACGGAATTTTGCAAGAAGCTGTAATGAAAGACATGATTTCTCTTTGAGACGCGCCATCGCTCATATCAAAGGCGATCTAGCTGCCGCCCGGTGGCATATGCAGAGACAAATTGCATCCACGGTGTCCTTCGTTTGGCAGCAAAACTGACACTTTGACGTGCCACTCCTGACTTTATCTTGATTAATCATTTTCCACTGGAAGGAATCCAGCATCAAGTAAACGATCCTATTTGACTCTGTGCGCTGAAAGGATGATTAATTGAGAGCCCAAATATTTTATGTATTATTTGCTTGTTCAGCCCAAAGACAGCTCCATCGTCTATATTAGATGAGTACCATAATCAAAGCGATGGAGCAGCATAGGTCTGAGATGCAAGGTTTGGTGCAGAGACTGACCTCTTACTTATTAGTCTCAGTCAGTCCTCTAAACATGTATTGCTGCTTCTCTCCAGCTCCTGAGATCTGTGTTTGATAGCGTCTGCTGGGCTGCGAGGCAGGAGTAACAACGCAGCAACTGTCGGCTAACTGAGTACAGAGACATGAGGCATGCCCTGTATTTCAACACTGTTTTCATCACATCGGTTCATGTGTCCTCACTGTTTTTTCTTGGGGAATAAAAAAACCCTAATGGAGATCAGAGGAGGATGTAACAATAGACCCGGTTTACAGCTGCATCTTGCATCTGACCTGATAAGATTTTAACAACACGCCTTTACACTTTAAGATCTTGGACTCATAATGACGTAACAGTTCTGTGATTTAAATTAAGATATTAAGCCCTACAATTTTTACACTCAATTTTTCACCTTTACATTCGCCCATATTTGGCAAATATCCCACAGATAACCATAGCTACTAACCGTGGTGTTCTTTTAAACCCGCTGACATAGCACACGGTAAAAGTCAATGGGCCTCATTTTAAACCAGATACGGATGTATTTATTCATAGCTGGGAAAAAAAACATTCATATCCTACAAGAGCTCCTGAGTTTGGGTAAATTTACATACAAGGATGTTCGCTAATGTGAACTGTCAAATCATCCAATTGCAAATGATCACTGCAATTTTATATACGGATTACGCTGTCAGGTTTAAATCCCTTATTTATCAACTACATTGTTCTGCCAGGGTTGACTGGAAATTTGTCTATATTTTAGAAAACAGCTGTTGTAGGTTTATCCGTCGCCACAGCGCACATGTTTGTGTTTCCCTGCTCTAACACACCTGACTCAGCTCATGGAGAGTCTGATAATTACTTGCTAATTACTAGTCCTGAGCTGAAAGGTATGTCTGAGCAGAGATGACCCGGAACGGTCTACAGACCTGCATCAAATTGTGCATTCAACTTAAGAGAAAAACAAAAACAAAAATGTTTCAATATATCAAGGAAAAAAGAGCATCCCACTGAAATGCAGCTGATTAAGGCACTCAGATTAAATTGCTTATAAATGTCTTATGAAGCTCGTCAAGACAAATGCGCATTGAGATGCAAACAAAACTGCAAGGCTCATTAAAGTCTAGAGGATTTCACAATGAAGACTGAGTACCAAACTTAATTGCAGCTCATCCCCTGCTGAGTCAAGCCATGTGCGTCCTCCTGACTGAATTCCTAATTACAACCAATGATTAAACAGCCAGTCACATCGCTGAGGAAGGCTGTATAATATCCCTCCCCATGAGCAGAAATACGGATCAGGACAATACAGATATCAGCACCGCTCATCCTGCTGCTAGATCTCATCAATCACTCAGCCCAAAAGATGTTGCTCACTTTCAGTGGAACATAACCACAGCGCTGTTAAATTCTCCCTTCTGATCAGTCAGAAGATGTTGATTAACTTTCTATAACGGCACTTTTTAACAGTCTGTGGTAATGCTGTTCTGTTACGTTTTCTGCCACGGGAAAGTCTTCAGGATAGACTGCACTGAGTTTTGTGGTTTCTTAGTAACAAGCTGCTTTTTTCTGTCTTATTAACAAGAGAAAGTGAGGAAACTACTGTTATAGCTGCTACAGCGTAAGTGATAACAGGAACTAACTTGTTTCACTAAATTGTTTCACTGACATTCCACAAACTATAAATGTATAAAAAGTGCAATTTGTCTTTCTTTAATAAATAAAAATTGTAATTCCTACGGTATTAGAGGAATAAAACACTTCGGGGTGCGCTGTTACAGGAAAATAATCCAATTCAGAGTGATAACAGTAACTCTTCTTCATTACACCACCCTGTTGTTGATTATTTTCCTATAACGCCACACCCCTTACGTAACCCCTTGCTTTATTCCTTATGTAAATGATCCGGGATTAGTTTAGTAGTTAGTGGACTGTAGGAGAAAATCTGTGCACTGATCCTTGAAAAAGGTACCACTGGAAACTGATCTACTGCATAATATCACGTACAAAATGATATTTTGCGAATTGAAAAGTATTTTTTAAAAATCTTGCATTGTTACAGGGCTGCCTAGTGGCTTAGGGTTCCTAAGTGACTGCTTATAGCACTTATAGCAAGAAGCGTTCCTGGAAAAGATCCAGAGGTCAGGGTTAGGGACAGGAGTTCCTGTTTGTACCCTTTACTTCAACTTTAGACTTAGACTGAATTTGAACAAAATGGTACCATATGACCGTTGTTTGTTATAAGGTTGCATATGACTAGATTTAGTTTGGCTTAACTGTTTATATGTGATGTTTTGGGGATTTTTTTAAAGATGAATGAAAAGACGAACAGCGGCTTTGTCCGTGAGGACGCCTGCCACGGTCGCCTCTATTTCCTCACGCTGCTCACATGAATGGCTTCGATAGTCCAGAACGGCCACAAAAGCCTCAGTCTGTCTTTCCCTCAATGAACCGAAAGCATTCCACATATTGTCTACCAGGTTGCCAGGCTGGGGAGAATGTTTTACCTATTAAATGGCAGCAGTGACTCAGTGGTTAAGCTTTTATGCTAGTGACTGGATCTAGCAAGACTCCTTCAACCTCAGCTAATATGACTGGATTAACTTCAAGTGTGAAATGTGACAGATTACATTTAAAAAGTGGCAACAAGAAAAAATATTTTCTGAAATAATCTTTTACATTTGCTTTCATCAAGCTAAACAACAGTGTGTACTCATTTTTAGGGTTTGTATAGATTTTCTACCCCCTTCATGGTTGATGATCAGATTTTATTACACAGCTGAAAGCACAGTAAAAGCTCAGTATACTGTATGTTACATGGATTTCAGGAGAGTTTGAGGAAAAGTGTTGTGCATTAGCTACATTTTTAACAGGAAGGACTTAGTGAATGTTCTGAAAACTGATAGCTACAATGTTAGCTAACATTGCACCGTTATTTATGCACCTTATTATATTTCAATGCTTGGGTCCCTGGAGGACTAGTGGTTAGGCCACAGTTCTTTCACTGATGTGGCCCGGGTTCGATTCCCAGCCAGGAAACTGTTCAACAGCATGCTCTCTTTGCTGGTCCGAAGCCCGGATAAAATTGGGGAGGGTTGCGTCAGGAAGGGCATCTGGCATTTAAAAAAAAAACCTGTGCCAAATTAAAGATTTGCCCCAGCAGACCAATGATCTGCTGTGGCAACCCCTAATGGGAGCAGCTGAAAGAGGAACAAAAACACTGTATTTCAGTGCTTGAAAGATATTGTAAATGTGATATTGTCTTTGCCCCCCTCTGCAACAATGCTAAAATGTTCAATTTTTTATTTTTTTTTTAGCAAACTGAAGTTAATCCAGCAGCCAGGAATATCCGGAAGAATTCAGATTGAAGTCAAGCATTTTTTTTTTAGCTCCTGACCAATCAGATTGCAAGTTGAGGGGCAACATAAATATTTAATTGTCAACACTGTTATTCAACTAAAATAACTTGTCTATTTCTGGGACATTTACCCAAAATGAACTTAGACAGCTAAGCTAGTTAGTTATCTGATACTAGTTAGGACTGGTAAGAGCATTGTTATGGTTACAGTGTGTTTGCCAAAAGAGCATTTTTTTTTTCATAACAGCAAAAAACGTGCTCTAGTGAGTGCTTTGTCTGTTCAGAAAAAAAACCCTCAATATTTGTCCATGGCTTGCAAAGACATGCACTCACTGCCACTTTAGTAGGAACACCTGTACACTTGATCATTCATGCAATTATCTAATCAGCCAATCACATGGCAGCAGCACAATGTATAAAATCATACAGAAGTCAAGAGCTTCAGGTAACGCTCACATCAAACACCAGAATGAGGAAAAAATGAGATTTCTATGACTTGTTTGTTAGTACCAGATGGGCTGGTTTTAGTATTTCAGAAATTGCTGATCTCCTGGGATTTTCACACACAACATTTTATATAGAATGGTGCAAAAAAACAAAAAACATCCAGTGAGCAGCAGTTCTGTCGGTAGAAACATCTTGCTGATGAGGTAGGTTTGAGGACAGTGGCCTGGACTGCTTCAAGCTGACAGGAAGGCTATAGTACCTCAAATAACCACTCTTTACAACCGTGGTGAGCAGAAAAGCATGCAGAACATGCCGAACCTCTTCACAAAAAGCTGTAAATGATGATATTTTTTAAATCATGAGACAAAAGCCAAAGCTTTTGTCTTTTTTTCTCTCATAGAAAAAGGGTTCCTCAAGGGCTCTTTGAGTAGTTAATGGTGAAAATTTCTAAACAGGTTCTATTTGGTTCTATTTTCGTTTCTGTAAGCGGGAACCCGCGCGGCAACTCAGACACATCTCCCTTGAGAGAATTATGATCAACCCCAGAGCTACAAAAAAATGTGAACAAAACACTTTCATTCTGCATGTAGACATAAAAATAGCACATATTTTCTCGCTCTCATTTCTCTCTCTCTCTCTTTCGCTCCATATTTTTCTGTGTAATAGTGAATAAGGATGCCGAGTTTTATTGATTGCTACCTGCACGGCTACAATTACCGAGATCATTCTGTGTCATCATCACACAATAGGCCAACCACACATCTTATAATGAGGTGAGCGAGGAAAATCTGGCAAGTCTGTAATTGAAACAAAAGATCTCCAGCGAAGGAAATGGCACTTCCTTTTTCTACTGTACACCATAATTGCCTCTTTGCCATCAGCTCTGTTTTACCCAAGAGACAGCACTGAGGAAGACTGTACTGTGTGTAATGGATTTAGAGGACAGGACTTTTTCTCTCAGCCTTTCACCAGTCATGTGGTGGATTAATAAAATGTGTGACATCTTACATTTCTGAACCCTGTCACCAAACACCAGGGGATCTTGGATCAAAGTTTTGTGAAAATGCTGCAATATCTTGGGCAGATAAGCGTCACACATTTCAGCCTGAGCTGTCAGGCGAGTAAAGTTCCTGATAACAGTAATGTAAAAATGATCGTATATGTTGATAAGTTCAAGCTGTCACTGATTTGGATTCCTTGGTGTTTCGCATTACATGAAATCTTTCTTTGTGTGCTATAAACATTTACGCATAATAAAAATGATTACCTGGAATCCTGTTCAGAATTTCATTCCAGTACTAAAAAATCGAATAAAATCACAAAGTGCTAATATTATTTAAAAAAAACATTAACACAGTATAAGTATCTTAAGTGATTTAATTTAAACTCCATATGAAATGGCTTGAGAGCTGTGATTTGATCCTGTATATTGATGTATTTCTTTTTGAAACAGGAGTCAGAGTGACAGTGAAGTGCATTTGAAGTGTTTGATTTACACAACAGCCAATAGTGTTCAAGATGCATCACACAAACTGCCGAATCTAAACAAACTAGACAGTAGCTTAGCTAAATAAAAATCTAGCTAAATATGAATAGCGAAGAATTTAACGATAGCTTTTTTTTCAACTGTGAAAGATTTCTCACCATCACCTTTACCCACGCTTGTCCACTTTAACCAGAAAGATATCGTAGATGAAGAGATGACGTGTTTTTGGAGTTATACTGTACAAGATTGAGGCGAGGTTCAAGGAACTTCAGCAGCACCGAAGGTCACAAGGTCATCACAGGCAGACGTGGTAGATAAAATGATATTACTGACGCTTATTGAAGGAATCACGTTCTCGATCAGTCTGAGATTGCAGCTTTCCAGCATTGAACAGTGCCAAGCTGATATAACACTCCTCAAAAAAGAAAACTGCCAAATCTTCTTTAAAATGAATAAACTAAAGTTTTTTTCCATCAAGAGACGGAAAGGGAATAGCGTGCAGGGAGATGCACAACAAAAAACACCCCAACGAACTATGTTTACTGCTAATGAGCTGCTACTGTAGAGCAAGAAACACACCCCAGGGGCGGGACATATATGCTATAGAGAGCATTTAATTGGACAATCACAAGACTAGCACAGGATGAGTCATCAAAAGTTTTAATCGTTTTCCAAGAACTGACAAAAAAGAAAATTAAAATTAGAATCTCCCTAAAACAGTTTTTTCTAAACCTAATTTCATGTTAGTGTCCAAAACACTAAGGGACAGGACCAAAAACTCTGAAACACCAATTTCATGAAGTGCCCCTCATGTCAAATATTACATTTTAAACAGTTAGCTTCATTTGGTGGCTAATTCTGTTTGTACAGGAGAGTGTTTGGGTCAGATTTGTTAATGCGCAAAAAATAAAAGTTAAAATTTTCCTTGTTTTTCTCAGTAATTCTATAAAAACCTGATTCTGAGAGCGTTACAGCTTTTGTACCTAACACTACTGTGATTAGAGGATGATGTTGAGCCTAAAAAACCTTTAGCCTCAGAATCTGAATGCTAAGCTGGCTAGCTAACGATCTTAGCTAAAATTAGTGATATACAAATTTGTGGTTCTGTAACGTGTGGTTAGATGAGGCAGGACACAAGTGTGATTGTTTTATTTGGGCAAATTGTAATCAGTGTCCATGGCAAGTGTAAAGAAAAATACAGGCAGACTACATGAAACCAGAATAATCCATGATCTTAAGATGGAGAAAAACACGTCAAAACCAGGAAGAACAATGATACACAACACTCAGAACAAGACTTAGACTTCATGAGACAAAAGATTGCACTATAAGACTTCTGGAAAAGAGAAAGAAACAGTGTAGTATAAATTGACAAACTAAACAAAGGGCTAACAAAGAACAGGCGAACACAGTCAGGTAACACAGCAATGACAGAACAGGGCCAGAGACAGAAACAAAGGCACATGGAAATGTAAACAAATGCACATGATGCGAACCCTAAACAAAACCCTAACGCACCCTGAGAAGGGGAATTCATGACAGGTTGTTATGGTGACGTCATGAATGCTGTTAATTGAACCTCTGAGAATATGACGATGCAAACAGAGACTCAGATACTGAATTCGCACTTATTTTAATCTGTGATTAATGTGAGCTAGTTTAGTAGCAGCTAACTAGCTAGTTAGCAAAGTTAGCCAGTGGTAGCAGTACATGAGAGCATTTACAGATTCCTACAAATATCCAATAATATTTATAAATCCTGCTATTTTTAATGTGGGTAATGGATTGCAAATGCTCCTAGTCCATTTTAGTAAACATTTTATTATGTACATAGAATTTTAATGGGTTAAAATTAAATTCAGGACTGCTTTAGATAATCAGCGAGAGAAACAGTACAAAGCGTATCTCTACTTAGTGGCCGAGGGGTTTCCTTTGCTACATGCTTTATTATACAACTTCACAAACGACTGGCAGTAATCGGCACTGAGTCATTACGTGCTCTTAAACAGCCGTTTCATTGCTCTCATTCAGAGTAAATTACAGGCGATAATACGCTATGCCGTACAGTGAGTTTAAAGAAGTTAAATAAATGTCACAGGGCTTCTCAGGGGCTCACACGCAGCAGGATCAGCGGGAATACTCCAGCCCAGGAGGTAATATGAACAGCTCTCAGGGTGTAATATATAACAGCCTTTTTTTTAAAGAGAGGTTTCACACAGATATACTGTAACCAACATACAGGTTTATTCACTAAGAACCATCCAGTGTAGAGAACTGATGTGACTCACCACTGACGTGTCACATGCTAGGGTGTGAATCAGGGCTGTTTCTTGCTATAAGTGGTTGCTTAGTACCTCCGGACCACCAGGTGGCCCCATGCTTTTTAAAATAGATATTCTGAAAAGCGCATTTCACTATCATTTGGCGAAAAGTTCGATGTATCAGGCAGTCGCAGGGGGGCCACGTCTAGTGTGAAAAGAAAAGAAACTGCAGTTTACGTTTACATTCAAACCGAAAAAGTAGAAGACCGGTAAGTTGTTAATGTAATTGTGTGTGTGTGTGTGTGTGTGTGTGTCATATTATGTTACGTGAGCAGCTTACTCTACCCTCGCCACAAGCATTTCAGTGTACATACAGTATATCCTGGTATACTGTGCAAATGATAAATTAATTAACTTGGCTTAAAAAAGAAAGTTTTATGAAGTTAAATGAAGTTAGTTAGTGGCTAACTAGCTAGCTAGCTAGTAT